GCGCAGAAGCCCACCTCGGTCGACTGTGGCCAGTGCAACCTAGTCAGGTCGTTTGTGTGAATCTCCGTGTTCTTCCCTCGCCTCAGAGTAGCCGCTCTTCTCCAAATGCCCGAGCCGTTTTCTATGTGTATTGGTCTTGCAGCGAACAACAGAGTCGAAAAACGAATTGACAATGTCGCCGAAAGCCGCGGTCATATGCTGGCCGTCCCTAGTACTACCAATATGCCCGCAGGCGCGGCGAGAGACAAGCTTAACGTATGAGTCACCGTCCGGCTGCCGGGAGAGCCCCTACCGCGACCTTTGCTCACAGGCATGACGTCACGACAATGGGTTCGTAAACGTACGGGCAGCGGCCGCCTCAGGGGTGCCGCCGTGACCTTTGCACGACACGTTCTATAGCGTATGGCACAGCGGTTACTAGGAAGGTTGAGGCCAGCGGCAGGCCGGTTTACAAATAACAAACAAACTTGACGCGCAATTGACAACAGGTAACAGATTGATTAATAAAGCGGTGACAATATAAATGAAAATGACAACATGAAATGACAAATCGCATAGATGATCCCTACAGTACCCCCTCGCCAGACATGTCGCGGACAAAAGTGACATGGCGATATCTTACCGGAGGGCGTACGACGCGGCCGGAGCGGGTCGTCCGTAGTATCGGCCGAGGCTGCAATGGTGCAGCGTCAGCCCGAGCGACGGCTGCAGGGCGATTTGGTGCGTCACCGTAGATCAGAAGCTCCGGGCCGCTGGGCTCATTGCTGAGCGGTGGCGCGGCCGGCGGGCCGCTGGACTGAGTACCGTGCGGCTGCACAGTCGGCAGGTCAGACTGTCGATGACCGGATTCGTCTGGCGTCTCCAGGAAGGCGGCCTTACACCGGTCGATGCTGATGACCTCCTTTTTCTGTCGACGGTCGATGGTGATGGTTTTGGTGGTCCTTTCGGTAACCGGGAACGGTCCGTCGTATGGAGCGTCCAGCGGGTAGCGGTGACAGTCCCTGCGCACGAAGACGTGTGTCGCCGTCTGGAGTGCCGTCGGGACGTACGTGGCGCGCTGGACCGGACGTGGGAGTGTCGGCCGCACCTGAGACATGGCGCGCTTCAGGTCTTGTACGAAACCGGCCGGTGATGCTGCTGAGGCTTGGCTGCTGATGAAGAACTCACCAGGAAACCGCAGTGTGGTGTTGCCGGTATTGCTGCTGTTGCCTCTGCTGCTGCTGCTGCTGCTGTTGCTGCTGCTGCTGCTGCTGCTGTTGCCGCTGTTGCTGCTGCTGGACGGTCGAATGATGCCTTGCTGGAGCATCTTGTTGAACTCGGCACGTGCGATTTGAAGGCGCTCCAGCGGGAGGCGTCGTGGCCGCTGGTACACCGGTGGACCCTTGGTGACGATGTGGTGCGTCACGTTGTGCTTCACCGGTGTTGGTCCAGGTTTTGGTGAGGTCACATCCGGGTACCGGGCGAGGACAGCTGCGAAGCGAGCAGCAGCCTGCTCCCGGACGAGACGCACTCCGATGGAGCACAGCCGTGACCGCTCGGCGCTGGCGCAGACGGTGCCGTCCCGCAGGAGACGCTGGTTGGCAACGTCCACGACGAGGTGATGTGCGGCCAGGAAGTCGGTGCCCAAGATGGGTGTGGTGACGTCAGTGACGAAGAATCGATGTTTCAGGCGGTGCTGCTGACTCAAGGTGACGTCCAGCAGGCAGGTGCCGTGCACCGCGATCGTTGAGCCGTTTGCCGCGACGAGCTGCTGGCCGACAGGAGCAGGGGTCAGCGTAGACCCGTTGGGCAGGCAGCGGCGAGGCAGCACGCTGACCTGCGCCCCGGTGTCGACTAGAAATTGCCGGTCCGTCTCCGTGTCCCTCACGAAGAGGAGTGGCGCGGCAGGAGGGGCGCCCGTGCTTTGCGCCATCAGCACGGGGCGCCTCAGTTTTCCGAGGCGATCCAGGAGCACGGCAACTTGCATCGGCGCGCTTGGGCGCCGAATCGCTGGTGGTACCAACACAGCGTGTCGTCGTGCGGCGGCGTTGAAGGACGAGCCGGTGACGGGCGGCGTGACTGGCGAGACGCTTGGCGCGGCCGGGAACGGCTGCGGTCGCGTCGCACGGCGTCCTCGAGTCGTCGGTTGCTGGCCTCCAGGCGCTCCATCTTAGCGACCAGGGAGGCGATGACGGTGTCCAGCGCAGGGGTTGCAGCTGGCGCCGGGGCTGTCACTGCAGCAGCGATGGGCGGTGCCGGCTGTGTGTACGGCTGTGCCGCGATCGCTGATAGCCGTGGGTCGGGTCCGCTAGCTTCCAGGTACCGGTCGGCCGCTTCTGCCAGTGCGTCAAGCGTGCTGTCGGCTGGCAGGAGGGCGAGGGCAGCACGGACGGGCTGCGGTAGCCGTTGTTGAAATAGGGTACGGAAGAGCTCCGTATCAACCGGTGCGTCCCCGGCTGCGGCTAGCTCGTTGCGCATTGAGCGCAACAGCGCCGTCGGCTTCTGATCGCCGAGCTGTTGGCGGCCGAGCAGGGCTTGTAGTCGGTCGGCGCGTGACTGTGCCAGGCGGGCTTGGAGCGCCGCACACAGCACGTCAAAAGACCGGGATGACCGAATGACGTCCTTGACCTGGACGGCGATGTTGGCGGGGAGGTTTGCAACGAGGAGCTTAAACCTCAGCTCGTCGGAGTCGACCCCGCTGACGTCGAAGGCGCACTGCACCTGCAGTAGCCACAGGTCGGGCTCTTCCGGAGAGTATGGTGGTAGCCGGAAGCTAGCCATGGGCCGATGAGTTGACTCGGAGGCTGAAGCTGGAACGCTGGCTGGGTCTTGAGCTGCGGCGCCGGACTGTGCGCTGTCCGCAGGCATGACGAGAGGCTAAGGTCGAACAACGGAGATCACGTCGGGGTCACCAATTGTCGTACTGCGCTGTGGGTAGCGCTTGGCTGGACGGACGGTCTGTGACAACCTATTGATCTGTGGCTGATCTATTAGAGTGTCCGTCCGAGAGCCGTACGACGGCTGACAGAGCCTGGGGGTCGCGAACTGGTGTGGTAACCGTTACGCCCACCTGGGACGCCCGAGTCGGTACGGCACTTGCGGTGTCGTAACCGGATCGGCGGGAACCAGCAGAACGCTGTTGGACCGGCGGTGAAAGTCGGAACCGAGCACTCGCCCACCAGTGGGGCGTCTGGTCGAGCAGGTCTACCCGCTAAGGCAGCCTGAGCACGAACCAGTGGCAGGGTCCGATCAATGACCGTGGTCCGACCAGGGTGTCAGCGCAATGGCCAGTCAGAGGCGTCTTTAAGGGCGCAGAAGCCCACCTCGGTCGACTGTGGCCAGTGCAACCTAGTCAGGTCGTTTGTGTGAATCTCCGTGTTCTTCCCTCGCCTCAGAGTAGCCGCTCTTCTCCAAATGCCCGAGCCGTTTTCTATGTGTATTGGTCTTGCAGCGAACAACAGAGTCGAAAAACGAATTGACAATGTCGCCGAAAGCCGCGGTCATATGCTGGCCGTCCCTAGTACTACCAATATGCCCGCAGGCGCGGCGAGAGACAAGCTTAACGTATGAGTCACCGTCCGGCTGCCGGGAGAGCCCCTACCGCGACCTTTGCTCACAGGCATGACGTCACGACAATGGGTTCGTAAACGTACGGGCAGCGGCCGCCTCAGGGGTGCCGCCGTGACCTTTGCACGACACGTTCTATAGCGTATGGCACAGCGGTTACTAGGAAGGTTGAGGCCAGCGGCAGGCCGGTTTACAAATAACAAACAAACTTGACGCGCAATTGACAACAGGTAACAGATTGATTAATAAAGCGGTGACAATATAAATGAAAATGACAACATGAAATGACAAATCGCATAGATGATCCCTACAGGCCGGCCGGCCGGCCGTGCGGACGCTTTTGCGAGGCTTATATCTCAGCAACCACTTGACCGATTTACACGAGGTAATTTTTGTAGGGTAGCTTCATTCCTTCTACCAAGTATTGGGCTATTCCCGATGCATGTGGGTGACCCCTTATGCACGTGCCACGTGCAAAACGAAGAGGTGTCACTTTTGTAATTGTTGCAATATCTCGGTAACTACTTGGCCGATTGCGCTGAAAGTTGGCATTTAGGTAGGCACCCACTAGGCAATGCGTACCCATGTGCCAGAGTTGGGGTGCTGCTGCACGTGCGCACGTGCAGGGGTCGTTTCCAGATCTCGAGAACGGCTGGACCGATGGCGCTCAAATTTGGTACACAGTTAGGGACCGGTTAGTAGGGTGCCGTGCAAAAGTCAGTCGGGACCCATTTTGCACGTGCGCACGTGCAGGGTGCCGCTTCCAGATCCCGAGAACGGCTGGGCCGATTGTGCTCAAATTTGGCACATCGCTAGAGACCGGTTAGTAGGGTGCCGTGCACAAGTCAGTTGGAGGTACCCCCTCGCAAGTTCGCACGTGCAAGGCCCACCCTCTCGCTCGCTCCGTTAGTCGCCCCAAAAGGCGTTATACTGGTTTATATTTTTAAAACTCGCCCTCAACTACGTAATTTTGCCCTTCCTATGTAGTTCATCAGCGTATATCATTTTGAGCGTTTAAATTAAAAGCGTTTAAATTATTTCAAGCTTCGATGTAAAGCCCTTGATAGCAAAGTACATTAAGCCGATGAAGCCGATCTCATAATTTTCAATCGCAACAAACCATTTCAAACATATTTTAAAGCACTAATCAAACACAATCTGGATTGGATTGCAAAAATTGGAAGTATGATGCAATCCAATCCGCAATCAAATCCTGTTTTTTGAAATGGATTTCAAATCCAGGTGCAATCCACCAAAAAGGAATGCAATCAGGATTTTGCAATCCTGCAATCACAATCCTACCGATGCCTGCGCGCAGCATACATACATCGAGCCTATCCGACCCAGCCAGAGTGGGTTTAGATATGACATTTTGACGGGGATCGTTGTCACGGGACCCCACTGCGTGGGGCTGCAGCTATGACATCAGGCCGCTGGTCACGGGATACCATTTGCCGGCCGCGAGCCCGGTATTTAAACCACCCCCCACCGTCCGCCGTCAGCAGACCTCCAGTTGTCGGTCAAGAGGACGGACTGATTTCGCGCTCCTGCAGCTTGCGTCCATAACATGTGAGTAACCACCCAGTGGTGAATTGTCGTTCACGGCAAGCTTTGGTGGACGCCATTGCTTGTTTATCTTTCGTAACAATGCTAGGATTTTGGTCTTTTTTTAAACTGAGATGACAAACTATTTTTTAAAACGTCATGCATATTGCATAGCACTTAGCACTTAGCAGGCATGGTTCCAACGTTATTAATGGGTAGTTCGCAACAAGAATGACTAAGATCCAGTCTAAGATCTTATTCATTACTGATGCTTAGTTATCCCTTAGTTATCTATTTATGACTTTTATACAACCTTTTAACTCGCTTATAACTTTTCATTATTTTGGTCTGTTGCAGATCAACATGCCTACCGGAAAGGAGATGGGCCAGCAGGCTACCGATAACCGATCCAACCAGTTGAACCCGAACAACCCAACCTACCAGGGGGGAGCCAACCGACACACCGGCAACGCCGACTCCTTCGGGAAGTCGGCGGCCGACAACCGCTCAAACCAGATGAACCCCAACAACCCCAGCTACCAGGGCAAGAAGTGAACGCTGCCGGGCCTACACGCCGCGGTAGCACTGCCATCGTCCAGTGGCGGGAAACATTTCCCACCAGCGGGTCGGGTGCCACAGCTGCGCTGACGCTTATATCCTGTTCATTGAAAATGATTCGCTGATCGCTCAGTAAACATGTTAACATGCTCCGTAAACTCGCTTAGGACGGCAAACACTGTGCCTCGTCTTTGTCAGAATAAGTGAACAATAAACTGAAACAGTAAATGCCTGGTTTCTATTGTCACGAGCTGAATGAAAGCCGCAACTCGAGCCAGGGAGGCGGTAGTCCGATCGCAACACATCGAAGGGGGGAAGGGGGGGGACACGCCGTACTCGATCGGCTTGCGGGCCCGATGCTATACAGTGACGTACTGCTCTATACACGGCTTTTGCCTTTTGGTAACACCACGTAACACGTAGCATAATGCCGGCGCTGCCAAACGTGCATCCAAATCAACGAACCGATTCCTGGGACCAGGGCTGCGGAGTCGGAGTTGGAGTCGGAGTCGGAGTTGTCCGAAGTTGACAATTCTGCCCGGAGTCGTAGTCGGAGTCGCCAAAATCTTACCGACTCAGGCTCCGGAGTCGGAGTTAACGCTGCATGGCTCAACGTCATGCCCTGCACCTGTTTGATTGACGATACTGCGCTTGAAATTAGATTTCGTCGAAAAAAAGACCATTTCGCTGTTTTGGAAGAACGTTTTTAGCGAAAGAAGACGGTGATTTCCCCAGAACCTGCTTTTTAATTCTGCATGTTAGGTATCTTTAATGCATATGTGCAACGCAAAGCCTTGGAACGCACAAGGGACCGATTCAGTCTCAGCAGCCGCAGGCGATGACTCATCCCGCACCCAGTCTTTCGGCACTCGGGTCAGCTCGTCTGCTCGATTCGCTGCGCTCCGCACTAGAGAGTTACAGACAGCGACAGCCCGAGCTCATCCACCAGAGCTGTCGAATCCTATCGACTCTGCGTAGCTGATCCGCATCTCTCCGTGTGCCTTTACATTGCGCAGCAGTGCGGCCGCTCAATGCATCATCGAACCAATCCATATAGTACACTGACTGCAAGTCCGTGCGCAGACCAATGACGAGCATGTCCAAAGCGATGGCCATGTTGACGCCTCTTCTCACAGGTGCATTCAGCTTAGCAACATTCCTATGTGTGTGGAATCATCAGTAAGCCACTAATTATGTAATCGTTCAGGGGTGTTGCTGTAGAGAGCACTTATTTTTTCTCTTGAGGCCAAGCTACTTAACTGATGTGACCTCGTAACCCGACCCGACGTTGAGTGGCAGGTACTCAGTGAAGTGGTGAATAATCCTAAAGCAGCCATTCTGAAGCTACAGAAGCCACTGTGCATATTCGGTGTCGCCTAGCAGTGTTCGCCGCGGGCCGCAAAATCGAAGTCCAGCCCAGCCCAGGCCCATGGGTTCACAGCCCGGCCCAGCCCGAGCCCATTCATGGTAAAAGCGTCAAAGCCCAGCCCGGCCCAGCCCGTCAAAAACGAACGGATTAACCCGCGCCCCGTTGGGCTCTGCCGAGCAACGCGCCCGGTTGGGGGGGGGGGCCATTTTGGCCCCCCCCTAAGATCTCGAGAACCACGCAACATAGCGACAAGCGGTAAACGGCGTTGGATAGCCCCAACGGGGAACTACCTTGTGACCCAATTTTATTGACCTAGGTCAAACCGATGACGTCACAGGTCAGGTCAAAGGTCCAATTTTCACCGTTTACAGGCACTTCAAGAAATGCGTTGTAAAATCGAGTAAAATGCATTTCATTGGAAATCATCGATGGGGAAATGTTCTTCAAACACATATTTTGCTATTTGTGGTCACTGATACCAGGTCAGGTCACAGAGGTCAGGTCACGGGGGGGTCACAATATGAAAGTGTCGTGTGATACATGTTTTATGGTCCATTTTACATGACAAATGCGATTATATGGGTCAGGCAGCCTTTGGGGCCAGCTTAGATCACGTTTTGGTCAAGGTCAGGTCAAGGTCAGGTCAAGGTCAGGTCAAATTAGGTCAAATTTCAAAGTTAATATTTTTGCATAAAATGGGTATCGAATCGATGCAGCTCGTCACGGGGAGTTCAATGGTGGTCTTTGTTTTGCCGTACGAGGTCTAGAATTGCTAAAAATTGAGTTCAAAAATTTGACGTCATCATTTTTGAACAGTTTTTTCGCTATAACTTGGCCAAAAAACGAGATATCAATCTGAAATTTGGTATGTATATAGAAGAGCGCTGGGACTATCACATATATTCCGGTTTTTTTGAAATTCGGAAAATTTTTGGATTTTTTCAAAGTTTTTCTAAAAAAATCAATTTTTTGATTTTTTTTGGGTCAAAAACCAAAAATTTTGAAAATCCGAGATAGCAGTTTTGTAGCGCCGCCTTTTGTCTACTAGACCATATAAAGAACTTTGAAATTGCTTGATAACTGTAGATTTGGTGAGCGTTTCAAGATTGCATGTTTTTTGCTCATTTTTGCTCGAACATGACCTCAGTTTGACCTCAATAACTCCTGACCTAAGGTGACCTAAGACTTGAAATTTGGTGTGAAGGTGTCAAATTGATGCCCGGGAAGGTACTGAAAATTTGGCGGCGCTGCGCGCCGCCGTTTTCTTGCTATTCAGGAAAAACCACAGGGGGGGGCCAAAATGGCCCCCCCCAACGGGGCGAGGGTTAAAAATTATTGACACCACACAGGTATCCAAAGTTAGCAAAGAAACAATCTTTTGCGAGCAGCGTGCACAATGCACATGGCATGCGTGATTTATTAACTCGTCTTTGAGTCTTGCACACTACTAAGCTATGTAGTTGTAGTTTTGTCTCTGTTGCGAGCCCCTGACTCCACTTTACAGTTTTTGGCCCAGCCCATCCACAGCCCATCGATCCTTCATATTTGAGGGCCCAGCCCAGCCCATAGCCCATGGCCCAGCCCATGGCCCATTGGGCTGGCCCGGCCCATGGCGAACAGCGTCGCCTATAGTAAAATACCCCATCCATAGGCCATTAAATCAGTACCTACCTACCTATGTAGTACCTATATAGAATAAACAAACAAACAAAACAATAGATTAATTTTCATATCATGACGAAAGGCTAGTACCTATCTTTCTATCTCTCCGGTGGGCTAAAATCGAAGCCTCTCTAAGCAGGGCCTATCGACAACGACTGTCGCGCAACCAGAATAAACCAGCTTTGTCATGACAGCGAGGGGGGAGAGGGGGTATGGTATGGTAACGTCTGCCATGCGTCGTGGTTCCTATCTCACCTCGCCTGAAATCTTCAAGTTGCAACACGGCTGCTTGTGCAAGATGACTCAGTCTCCAAAGCCTCCAATCGCTTAGCCTCCATATCGCTCACCAAACACACTATCAGCTGGTGCTAAAATAGACTTCAGGTGATGAATTAGGCCTTATGCTATGATAGCGGATCCCGTCCTTTGTGTGTAAGTTCCACTGTTCACTTCTCGCCGTACTTCACCTTTCGTTGCATTTAAGCCTTTAGATATCGTGTACTGTAGCTCTCGCCGAGGCGGGGGGGGGGGGGGAAGCGGTTTTAGCCCCCCCCCCCGCTCTCAGGTTTTTGCCAATAACTCAGAAACTATCATAACCAGCTGACTGGTATTGCAGTTGGTTAACCCGCACCCTGCTTGGGGGTTAGGGTGATTTGAACACCTTCTGCAGTTTTTCGCAAATATGTCAAAAACGGATCCGCGCCGCCGTTTTTGGCACCCTTTATTATACTAATAATCTTTTTACACACGTTGTAAAAAAAAAATCAAGCCAAGGACTATCAAGGTCAGGTCACCAGGTCAGGTCAAGTGACCTCACCTCAAAATAAGTTCCAATGTTTGCCATTAACCGAGTGACGGATCGCTTTGACACTTTCAGCAATTCATATGGGAAATATAGTATGTACAAAAGGTACGTCTCGGAATTCTGATATCTGTGACCTTAGGTCAGGTCAATTTTGTGACTTACCTTAAAGCCAAAGAGGGAAAATTGAAATGCGCGTTTTTTTGGACTAAAGTCAAACTAAACCCTTCAAACACCGAGTTGCAAGTAAACATGACACACTGAACCCAAAAATGGCACTCGCTATAACACCAAGTGAAAGGCATGTTATCGAAAATCGTCCATAGGGAGTTGGCTGCTTACATATATGTTGCTAAATGAGGTCGCTGATATTAGGTCACAGGGTGACAATACGACTCCGACTGTACATACTCGGGTAGTGTAATACATGTTTCATGGCCAATTTACATTTCCATTCAAATAAGCGACCATAAGGGCAAGTTTAAGCTACGTTCTGGTGGAGGTCAGGTCAAGGTCAGGTTAAAAAGCAGCAAAAGAGTTTAAATTTTAAAACGGATATTTTTGCATTAAAAGGTTACCTATTCGATGCAGCTTGTTACCGGGAATCCAATAGACAATAGTGGTCTTTGTTTTACCCTAAAATAGGTGGTCTAGAACGGCTAAAAATTGATTCCGACAATTTAACGTCATGAATTTTGTGTTTGTACAACTTTGCCAGAAATGAAGCTACCGAGCTCAGATTTGGCACGTCGACAGGCGAATGTCGGCTCTATAACAAATGTTTCGTTTTGTTTCATTTTTTTTTGTATTTTTAGTATTATAAAATAACATTTTTGAATTTCTCAGATCAAAACAAAAAATCAAATATCATAGATTGCAGTGTTGCAGCCCTGTTTATCCAGCACCTTTTTAGTGTTAAACACTTTTCTCTATCTTCAAACTGTAGGCGTGACAGCTCTTTCTTCAAAACTTTTTTAAGGACGAAAATGGCAGAGCTTAACCTCATTCTATCTGACGTCATTTGTGGTCAACCTTTGACTCTAGAAACATTTTAGGCTGCAAGATGTAAAATGGATGCCCGGAGAGGTCCTAAAAGTTTGGTGACGATATCTGAGATAGGTGCCTACTTAAGAAGATATCGACTGAAAAGGAAAGGCGTCGGCACGCGGTGCGGGAGATTCCGAGCTCAGGAGTTGGAGAAGGTAGGAACACGATTAGACGGTCCGAGAGCCCGGTATTTAACGCACCGGCCACCGCCCACCGCCATCAGACGTTCAGTTATCGTTCAAGAGGACGGACTGATATTCGCGCTCCTGCAGCTAACCATAGCACGTGAGTATGCCACCCAAGGTGATTCGTCGTTCAGGGCCAGCTTTTGGTTGACGCCATTGCTTCCTTATCGTCTGTAACCATAGACCTCTGTAACAAATAACAATGCTAGAATTTTAGTTATTTTCACTATAGGATCACGAACTTTTTCTCAAAACAACGTCTATTCATAGCAGGCACGATTCGAACGTTATATGAAAATGACACCTAACTTTGTAGGCAGACAGGGATCGTTTGTAGGCAGACGTTATATTTGTAGGCCATTTCGTTCTTCAAGAAGTGTACCCTCACATTACCTACCTTCACCTAAGCACTAGTTAGGTAGGATAAGTCATGAATATAGTAGGTATTTCACAGTCAATTTGTGACTAACATACCTATATACCCAATCAAAATTCTGAATCGCCACTCACTCATTTTTCGCTCGGTCACCGATCGTTTTTATTTTGGTCTTTTACAGATCAGCATGCCTACTGAAAGAGAGATGGGCCAACAGGCTACCGATAACCGGGCTGACCAGCTCAACAAGAACAACTCTAAGTACCAGGGAGGGACCAACAGACACACCGGCAATGCCGAATCCTTCGGGAAGGCGGCGGCCGACAACCGCTCAAAGCAGATGAACTCCAAAGGCAACGACACCAACCAACAGGACAAGAAGTGAGCTCTGCCAGTCCTTCTTGACGCCGCGGCAGCACCATGAGGCCAAGCGGTAGCCGCGGAACATTCCCCATTGCGCCCCCGCTGCGGCTGCGCTGCGCTCATACCGTGCCCATTGAAAATGATTTCAGCAGGGGTGTCGATTTTTCAAAATGGTTGGGGGTGCTCAACCCCTGCACCGGGTGAAAGATTGCAGCTTTGCCATGGGGCACAACCGTGCAAGGCATGGTTGGGTATCCCCATAAGGTACTGATAATCACGGGATTCCCCCCCCCCCCCATCAGGTTCAGGGGCCCATCGGGTTATTCGGGCCTGAGGGGCCCTGCGGCGCCAATCGGCCGCTGAGGGTCCACGTTGGCTATATTTAGACTCAGAAGGGCCCCACAGGGCTCGTAAGAACACCTCATGGGCCCACAAGTACCAACATTAAGATCTCCATAAGGGCCCCAAGCCAGCCTCTGAGGGCCACTTGCCGGCCTCTGGGGGTCTTAACCGGCCTATAGGGGGCCAGCTCTAGGAGCTGCACACCCGCCTGTAATGGCCCCACACCCATTTCTCTGAGGGCCCATATAACGGCGACTGTAAGGGCCCTCACCGGCGCCCCTGAGCGCCACACCGGCGTCCCTGAGGGCCCCACACCCCTAACTCTGAGGCCCTACACCAATGCCTTTAAAACCCTACATGGGCGGTTCTGAGGGCCATTGTCAGTTACCAGCGACCCTGACGGCTGACACAGGTGACTCGGAGGGTCCCAGCGGCGTCTGAGCGCACCATGCCAGTCTCTGAGAACCCCACAAGGCGCCTGAAGGCACCGGTGACCTCTTGATATCTTTTTGTCGGCCTATGAAGGGTCCGTTCCGTAACAGCAGTTCTGAGGGCCCCACGCGCGCCTGTGATGGCCCTAAACCAGTGTCTCTGAGAGCCCCCACAACGGCGCCTGTGAGGGCCGTCACCGGCGACTGCGAAGCCCCCACACCGGCGCCTCCAGTCCGAGGGCCCCACATTGCCATATCTGAGGGCCCCACACTAGTGCCTCTTAAGGCCCTATATCGGCGGCTCTGAGAGCCCAGCATCGTAGCTTCTGAAGGCCCCACTAGTGCGCATGTGACGGCCACCCTGCCACCGGTGACATTTGAAGGCCCCACACCGGCGACTCTGAGGGCCCCATCGGCGTCTGAGTCCGTTCCGGTCTATAAAGACGACCCCACAGGATTTCTGAAGGTACCACCGGCCTCTGATGGCCCTTTGCCGGCCCCTGAGGGCCAGTCGCCGGTCTCTGGAGCCCCCTGCCGGCTTGTAAAGGGTACGCACCAGCAGCTCTAAGAGTCCGACACCCGTGTACGACGGACCCACACAAGTGTCTTTGCAATTTAACGTCTTTTTTCGCCCTTCTTCTTAAAACTAACTTTTCTTTTCTTTACATCTTTATTTCATGCCTTGTAAATTGCGTAATTGTTTTATTTTTTGTAGTGAAAGACTGCAGAACAATTATTTTCCTCAAGCAGAGTTAGTGGCAGTTATTGAGGGACAAAATCATTGGGGGTGCCCGGAAAACCATTGGGGGTGCTCATTTGAGCATTGGGGGTGCTGCAGCACCCCCAAAGGTATACAAATCGACACCCATGGATTTCAGTGATCTTTCTGTGACATGTGCTCGCGCACGACGCCATACGCTGTGATTCGTCTTCGTCATAATTAGTGAACAATGCACTGAAACAGTAAATGCCTGGTTTCTACTGTCATGAGCAGAATGAAAGCCATAACTCGGGCCAGTACGGCGGATGGTCCGATCGCAACAGATGAAGGCGGCAGAGGGGGAGGGGGGAGGTCACATCCGCTATCTGCTCCTGGGCCCAATCAGATAAAGTGACGTATTATTTATGGCGTTTCGTAATATCGTGTCACAGCTAACATGATTCATGAAACCGGCGTTGGCAAAGGTGTATCCAAATCTTGACGAAACGATACCGGTACCGTTAATATGCATATTGACGGTACGAGCATGCTCGTACTTTGTAGGTACAGCATTCATCACACTGCGTGGTAGGCATCCTTTCTTCCGACAAAACCAGTAATACCTAAAAAACTACGGTCACTCGGATATCGCATCACCAAGACGCGCGAGGTTCCACACCTTAGAGTAGGCTCACATATGGTAAGCATTTTCCATTCAGTTTGGCAACAATACACAAAAGTTTCTATTTGCCCGCAAAACAAACTTTTGTCTTTCGTTGCCAGTCCCACACTTGGCGTAAAGTCTAGTTAATGAAAGCCAGACATGTGCGTGGATCCGAGAAAATGGATCTGGGATCTGATCCCACGGATCCTGATCTGGGATCCGTCGGGGTCATAGATCCGAGTCTAATATTTTGCTTGAGATCCAGTGAGATCATAAATCCTCATTTATTTTTGTCAACACAGAAATAAAAAAAAAATCACTCGTAACTCACAAGCGTTCTTATCCCGCGCCCTGGTGGGGGGGGGCTATTTTTTGCCCCCCCCCCCTCCAGACTTTTCGATATATCTCCAGAACCACTGCGCCGATCGTCACCAAACTTTCAGTACCCTCCCGGACATCAATTTTACACATTGTGACAAAAAAAAATTCCAAAAGCTATGATAGGTTGGCCGGAAATGACGTCAGAGTGACGTCATGTTCTGCCGTTTTCGAACCAAAAAAGGGTTTCGCGGGAAGAGCTGTCAGGCCTATAGCTTTGCAAATACAGAAAAATGATACAGACATAAAAGCTGTAGAATGGACAGGGCTACAAAACTGCTATCTCGGATTTTTGAAATTTTTGGATTTTGACCCCCAAAAATCAAAAAATAGATTTTTTGAGTATAATAACCAAAAAATCCAAAAAGTTTTTTGAATTTCGAAAAAACCGGAATATATGTGATAGTCCCTACCGTCTTCCATCTACATACCAAATTTGAGATCGATATCTCTTTTCTTGGCCAAGTTATAGCGAAAAAACTGTTCAAAATTGATGACGTCAAATTTTCAAACTCAATTTTCAGCAATTCTAGACCTCGTAGCGCAAAACAAAGACCACCATTAGACTCCCCGTGACGAGCTGCATCGAATCAATACCCATTTTATGCAAAAATATCAACTTTGAAATTTGACCTTTTTTGACCTGACCTTGACCTGACCTCCACCAGAAAGTGACCTAAACCGTACCTGATGGTCTTATAACCAACACCATTGAGTTGGAAATGAAAAACTGGCCATAAAACATGCATCGCACAACCTTAGTAAAGTTGGGTTCATGTGGTGACCCTCGGTGACCTTTGGTGACCTGACCTGTGACCTGACCTGGTATGACCAGTGACCTCTAACAGCAACATATCTACTAGGCAACTGACGCCCTATCGCTGATTCCCGACAAAATGCGTTTTCCTCGGTGTTATAGCGCATTCCCTAGAAGACCCGTGAACGGTGAAACATTTCATCTTTGACCTGACCTGTGACGTCATCGGTGACCCCGAGGTCAATAAAATTTGGTTTCCTTCGACAAATTTGACAGGCCTTTCGAACGCCGTTTGAATTTTGCGGATCCGTCCAGTAGTTTCGGAGATACGAGGGGGGCAAAAAATAGCCCCCCCCACCAGGTCGCGTTATAAACAGACCCCACCAGGGCGCGGGTTATTTAGTGATTTATGTGATGGCACATCATAAGCCATAGCTTTATGGCACTTATTGACATAGAAACACTCAGGGGCGGAGCTTCCTATACAGTTGGTGGGGCGGCTGCGCCACCAACTTGGCATTTTGCCCCACCAATAAGCGTTTTGCCCCACCAACTTTAGCTGATTTCTAAGACTTTGTTGCTTTGCAAATTAATCTTTTTCGCATTGAAGAGCTTTGGAATGTCTGTTTAATGCGAAATATTATATCTGTAATGATAGGAATTGATACAGCCTGGCATTTTATTCAACTTCATAATCGGACATAGTGGGTGTGACGACTTTTTGCCCCACTAACTTCCTTGGAAAAGTTCCACCCATGGAAACACTTGGAGACTTGGTTTCAAATGTTGTGCATGGTGGGATCCACTCAGATCATATATCCATGTTCTTGGTTTATCATCAGATCCTGTGAGATCATAGATCCAGGATGAATTTTTCACAACGGATCCGGTGGGATCATAGATCCGAACCTGCAGTTTTCGTCGAGATCCTCTGAGATCATAGATCCATCACTCGGATCCATGCACATGTCTGATGAAAGCCCCAACCGAAAGAGTGGGCCAGGACGCATCTCTGTGTTATGAATTCCTTTCGACTGGAAACATCAAGATAACATAAGCTTTGAGTTATTGTCGATTCTACAAAAAAAGTACCTACATACCTAGCACGCAATGTTATTGAGAGGGCTTACCTACTGAGCTGAGATGCGTAAAACCAGTCCGCAAAGACATTTAACCGTCTTTGCGGCTGATATTCAGCCAATACTGCCAAATTCTCTATAGCGATCGTAAGATTAGGCCAATTAGGCCGCGGACCACGTAACGACAGCGGCCTAAATGACGCTCAATGCATTTAGACCTTGAATTGAGGGAATATTCTCAGTCATGTAGGTAAGGTCAAAATATGGTCTGATATGATGTCAACTGAAAATTTAGTGTTCCGGATTTTGACAGTCTAGTTCAAATCGTCTCGTAACTGGTGAAGCACTAGAGGCCAAACAACTTGGCATTCCCCCCCCCCCCCCCACCACCTCCATGGCGGAGTTGGCTGAGACACCCATGCATTAATTGCATCAAGTTTAATTAATGCATCAATTTTTATCTTTATTCCACCTAAAGCGTATTGATTTTTACATTATGAGCCGAGGAAAGAGTAGGGCAGAGTGGGGTAAGATGCCCAGGGTTTTACAATCTCATATATTATTCGAAAATGACGATCGGAAAGCAAAAACTTGGAGTTTCAACGGAAGCCGACATCATTTTTTATCCAAAAAATAACACACTTTCGTGCCCGAAATATGATAGCTTTTATGCTATTAAGCATTTTCCTGAAGAAGTGAAAGGGGGCATCTTACCCCACAGGGTGGGAAAGACGCCCCCTGGCGTTGGGGAAGATGCCCCCTGCACTATAAGTGACATAAATGGGCACGTGAATCGCCTGAACGAACCAGTAGTCCCTTCGAGCCTGCAATAGACACTAAACGTCATCGTAAAGGCCCTCAAAAGTAGTCGTAAGGGGCTTCAGAGGTCCAGGGTTACTTTTACAGGAAAAGTCGAGAGGGGGAATAAAGTTCGGGGCAAGGGCGGATCCAGGGGCATCTGAAAGGGGGCCCAATGCCATTAGGTTTTTGTTAGGATGGCGCCTGCAGAACCTTACTACCCCCAAATCCTACTCCCTCCCCGGATTCTGGCCACTTTATATTGTTACGTTGCCAAAAAAATAAATTACCTAAAAAATATACGCAGGTACCAACTACCTTGGCGGTAAGGGGCGGGGGAGATCCCAACTTGACTGCGCCCTTGCAAATGTCAATCAGTAGTATCAACCTATTACCCTGGCCAAACATCAAGTAGCGCCTTTCTAAATAGAGAGAGGTTAGCACGTGACTATTTTTGCTAGGCCAAGACCGATTGAAGGACCCTGGTTCGAAGGAAGACCCTTGGTTCGGAGGGGTCATGACTCATGACCCCCGTCCCCCGCCGGTTTCTACGCCTGTAGCGATATGTCAGTGATTACGAAGAGACGGAAGAGACAAGACAAGAGACGGTCCCACCGACCATCCGATCGGTATATCGGGTCAAATCTGGAGTTCCCGCCGCACTGAACGTAAAATACTAAAATGGTTGGATGGAACCTCAAATTGAAAATTATCTAAGCGCCAGCAACGTTGATTGATGACTAGAGATCATCGTCTGAGTAGCGAATTGATTGAAAATGGGCTCAAAAATAAATTTGAAAGGAGGAAATTCCCCCTTCCCTCCCTAGCCTTTCACGCACAATTTGAAAGGGGGAGCGGAATTTTCGAAGGGGGGAAATTCCCCCTTTCCCCCCCTTAAAAGTTACCCTGCAGAGGTCATCGTCAGGGCCATCATAGTTCAGCGCGGCCAAACAAGCCTCCGTGGTGGCGTTCGGAGACCGCTGTGGGGCTCTTACAGGTCTTCATGATGCTTGAGGGCCTTCGAGCCCATCGATGGGGACCTCAGATGCCAGCGCGGCCCCAGGAGCCAACATGGGAGCCCTCAAAGGATGTCGTGAGGGGCCTTGGAGCCAATAATGGGGCCCACAGAGGCCGTCGTGAGGGCTCTCAGAGTCAGATGCCGCCCAAAAAGTCGCTGTGTGTGCCGAGAGACCGGCATGGGGAGCACCCGACCGTACTGGACTCTCAATAGTCCCAGATCGGCTTTTGTCTCTCATCACAAAAATGTAATAAATGATTTGACGGGTTCCTTGAAGGCCAGCCTATGGATTTAGAGGGGCGTCTTTCCCCATCAGGGCAGGGGGCATCTTACCCCAAGGTACCGAATTAACATTAAATCAGTACTAATTTTACGCCCAACAAATTGTACTTACAATTTGTTAGCCATAAAACTATACCCTGAAACAAACTGTTTGGGACACAGTACACGCATGTTAATGTATCACGACCATAGCAAGAGACATAGAAATTATTTACTTCTTTGATATTTACAATGTTTTGACACCAAAATATTTTTCGAAAGAAGCAAATAAAAAAACATTCAATCACCAGCCA